CTGCACGTGACCGTTCGCTCACACACCTAGTGGCCAATAGGTGTGTGAGGGTAAATGGAGCGTTGCAACTACGCCTCTGGATCGATCCGCACGTCCACTAACATAACAGGCGCGTACTGCATTTTTTGACTACTTACTGACTTGATTGGGTTTTTAGTGGTATTGTAATAATAATAACTTGCTCAATTTTTTGCCGATTTGGAAACGGTTTGCTTTGTCATCAACGTAACAGGTCTACTTGTGGCACTGCATACGTATGAATAATGTTCTGTTCACTATCATTTTCGTGTGAAAAGCCATGGTTATACCCATTCATAAGTATCACCAATACATACATCTCTGTACAGGGTGGGGATTTCAACATGCAGCATTTCCTGATGCACATTTCTAAAGGGAAACCGTGTGCCTTTTTTTTTTTTTACAACATAAAACCATTACTCATATTATGTATGCTGTGCCGTAACTACATGTTGCACGTTGAGGACAAAACAAAACCGTTTGGTCTCGGTTGAAAACGCAGACGAGAGACCTAGCCTTTATTATGAATCCATGGTCTCTATCGGGAACCAGTATGACGTCTATATATTTCCGAGCAAGGTGCGGTCGCCCGACACCGACGCTTCAAAGCCTGCCACGGGCGCGAAAGGGGTTCCTTCGCCACTGGCACACACTGGCTTTGCCAACTTGAGTTCGGGAACCGAACCCGCGTTCCCAAAACTCCGAGCGAGTGCGCATGCGCAGTGAGGCCCCACAGTCTGTGCTGATGTGCTGACCGCTGGGCCAAGTAAGAGAATCGCGATCTCAACCAGTGACGTGGAATAACGCGTCCTCGTCGCCCCTCTGAGAGATCAGAGAGACGTTTTTAGTGGTGCATGCACTTGTAATATTAATAACTTGCTCAATTTTTAGCCGATTTGGAAACGGTTTGGTTTGTCATGAACGTAACAGGGGTAGTTATGGCACTGCATACGTATGAATAATGTTCTGTTTTATATCATTTTTGTGTGAAAAGCCAAAGCCTTTCTGTATTATTATCACAATTGTCAGGATTGTGAGCTCAAACTGACTGTACAACTCTATATATTTCAGTTTCTACAGGTTTTCCACAGGTGGTGGGCCGCCAGGGCCAGCAAGGCCTTCTCTGCTGGCCTAAACATCATCAAGATATATCTCTTTTTTTCCTGTCCAGTGGACTGTATAGAGTCAGATGTGCCAGCGTCATGACGTGATGTGGCATGACTCGTCCCCGTCCCTCCCTGAGAGATCAGCTGAGATGCACAAAACCATCACGAGCTGCTTTTGCACCAATTGATTACATTAAGTCTTTGTTCTCCTTAATCCTCCTCATATTTATTTTTTCTTTTAGGCGTATGTGTTATTTTAAATACAATCATATTGATTGTCTCTTTATCTTGGCTTGTTTCTCAGAGCTTTTCTGTATTATTATCACAATTGTCAGGATTGTGAGTTCAAACTGACTGTACAACTCTATATATATTTCAGTTTCTACAGGTTTTCCACAGGTGGTGGGCCGTCAGGTCCAGCAAGGCCTTCTCTGCTGGCCTAAACACCTTCCGTAGTGAGTCTTCCTTTATGACTGAAGAGTATTCCGCTTCTTCAGGATAAGTCCGCTATTTAAAATCCCTCTTGGGTCAGGTTGCCAGCAATGTTCCCTCTGATTTTTCACGTGTCTGGGCACACACACATGCACCCTGAGCACACGGAGGACCACTGTGAGCAACATCAGATGTGCGCGCTGTGACCACACACGTGACGCCTGTTCAAAACCTTGGATCATCAAGTTACATGGTTTATTAAAAGAATCAAATCACAGCAGCAATTTTCATTAGTTTACTTTTAATATAAGCGATTTGGTCCACTTAAAATGAAAAAGACAAAAATCTTGTTGGTGTTCTTGAGATGTGTAGTATGCTATATGTTATGTGTGTTATTTTGCCAAACGACATGTGCTGTGGCTTGTGTTACAGTGTAAATTCCGCAATTACAAAAAAATATTGTGGATAAAAGTTAAACAAACTTATTTTCGTTACCCTCACAGAAAGTACCGTGTAATATATCTATGCATCTACTTTGAACGGGCGCAACATTGTCATTGGCACGCCATGCTGGCCAGAAACGGTACTGCACCTGCACCTGCACCTTGCTTGAACCCTGCATCCATCCGAATTCCACTCCGTCCTAGAATTCCACTCACCACAACGTGATGGTTCAAAATGGCAGAGCTCGATTGGCCGCTGTGTGCTGTTGACAGATAGAACACCTAATCAGTGGTGTAATGAGCCCTGTGGTTAAGACAAATGTGACGCAGCCCTAGGGTCATCCCACCGATCAGCACATACAATGATACAAGTGACTTTTTTTATGAATATGTCTTGATATTTCATACTACGCAGCGGTTTTGGAGATTACCCACAATGCACCTGGGGCAGTTTTGGCCTCTTTCAGACCCAATAACGTAAAAGCTAAAGCAATTTGCAAGTTGGAAAACGGCTTCTGGGGCGTCACCGAGCCAAGCACAGTCTCCCAGACGTCAAAATCGCCCCCCAAAAATGTAGTGCACCTTGACTGAGACAAGGACTGGCCCAGAGGGCTTTAAATACCTCTCGAGTTCCAAGTTCATTTAGCGGAAGGCGCCCCAGCGTAGTTCCCAGTGTGGTGCGGCGGTCTCGTAGTCTGCACGTGACCGTTCGCTCACACACCTAGTGGCCAATAGGTGTGTGAGGGTAAATGGAGCGTTGCAACTACGCCTCTGGATCGATCCGCACGTCCACTAACATAACAGGCGCGTACTGCATTTTTTGACTACTTACTGACTTGATTGGGTTTTTAGTGGTATTGTAATAATAATAACTTGCTCAATTTTTTGCCGATTTGGAAACGGTTTGCTTTGTCATCAACGTAACAGGTCTACTTGTGGCACTGCATACGTATGAATAATGTTCTGTTCACTATCATTTTCGTGTGAAAAGCCATGGTTATACCCATTCATAAGTATCACCAATACATACATCTCTGTACAGGGTGGGGATTTCAACATGCAGCATTTCCTGATGCACATTTCTAAAGGGAAACCGTGTGCCTTTTTTTTTTTTTTTACAACATAAAACCATTACTCATATTATGTATGCTGTGCCGTAACTACATGTTGCACGTTGAGGACAAAACAAAACCGTTTGGTCTCGGTTGAAAACGCAGACGAGAGACCTAGCCTTTATTATGAATCCATGGTCTCTATCGGGAACCAGTATGACGTCTATATATTTCCGAGCAAGGTGCGGTCGCCCGACACCGACGCTTCAAAGCCTGCCACGGGCGCGAAAGGGGTTCCTTCGCCACTGGCACACAGTGGCTTTGCCAACTTGAGTTGTCCAACCATGTGTGTCCACAGCATGCGCGAGGGAATATGGATCGCGGCAAAAGTACGCTTCTAAATCGGACCGCACCTCCACAAAGCGGACGAGACATCTAGCCTTTATTATATATTTATCGGGAACCGAACCCGCGTTCCCAAAACTCCGAGCGAGTGCGCATGCGCAGTGAGGCCCCACAGTCTGTGCTGATGTGCTAACCGCTGGGCCAAGTAAGAGAATCGCGATCCCAACCAGTGACGTGGAATAACGCGTCACCGTCGCCCCCTGAGAGATCAGAGAGACGTTTTTAGTGGTGCATGCATTTTTTTTAGCCTCAATTTTTAGCCGATTTGGAAACGGTTTGGTTTGTCATGAACGTAACAGGGGTAGTTATGGCACTGCATACGTATGAATAATGTTCTGTTTTATATCATTTTTGTGTGAAAAGCCAAAGCCTTTCTGTATTATTATCACAATTGTCAGGATTGTGAGCTCAAACTGACTGTACAACTCTATATATTTCAGTTTCTACAGGTTTTCTACAGGTGGTGGGCCGTCAGGGCCAGCAAGGCCTTCTCTGCTGGCCTAAACATCATCAAGATATATATCTTTTTTTCCTGTCCAGTGGACTGTAAAGAGTCAGATGTGCCAGCGTCATGACGTGATGTGGCATGACTCGTCCCCGTCGCTCCCTGAGAGATCAGCTGAGATGCACAAAACCATCACGAGCTGATTTTGCACCAATAGATTAAATCTTTGTTCTCCTTAATATGTTGTTCTCCATTATCTTTTTCTTTTAGGCGTATGTGTTATTTTAAATACAATCATATTGACTGTATCTTTAACTTGGCTTGTTTCTCAGGGGTTTTCTGTATTATTATCACAATTGTGAATTGTAATAACAATATTGTGGATTGTGCGCAGGATCTCGCTAGGTTGTATAGCAACTCATTCTCATTTCCTAAGCGTGTGCGTTTTCTTTTATGCAACTTTATACTTCTACTCCACTGCCTCACTCATGTCTGTAAATGTAGTATATATGGTTTTTAATCCACTACATTCACCTGTAAAATTGCATTACTTTTTCAGATTACAAGTACCCTTCTGTTCAGTGAAAACCTTTCATCCCACGTGAGTTTGAATGTTTATAATTATACAGTGCATCCGGAAAGTATTCACAGCGCTTCACTTTTTCCTCATTTTGTTATGTTACAGGCTTATTCCAAAATGGACAATTGAGTTGTAGAAACATTTCAAGGATGATCAGTGGAAACAGCATGCACCGAGCTAAATTTTGAGTGTCATGGCAAAGGCCAATGTTATGTTTTTGTCTTTATTTTGAATAGATTTGCAAAAATGAGCAAAAAACAGTTTTCACTTTGTCATTATGGGTTGTTGTGTGTAGAATGTTGAGGAAAATAATGAATTTCTTCCATTTTGGAATAAGGCTGTAAACATAACAAAATGTGGAAAAAGTGAAGCGCTGTGAATACTTTCCGGATGCACTGTGTATATTATATATATATATATATATATATATATATATATATATATATATATATAAAGATAAGATTTAGGAAAATCCTCTATTTTGTTGCACCTAAATAGATTTAAAAAAAGAAAAGTCAGTGAGGTTAAATGGTTTTATTAATAATAGTGAAGGCACAACAGTGCATCAGCAACCCAGAGCTGATACTCTCACACTATTAACAGTGAAGGCGTATTCATGGCTTGTCAGTGTGGGGCAGTAGTGTAGTTCTGGGGACAGTCTGGTGGGCAAGAGAGAGTGCAGGTGTTGAGACCTGCATGCTCTTATTAGGTTTAAGTGAGTGTGTTGTTTCTTTCCCACTTATGAATCAGGATAACAAATTCATGCATGAATTAGAAACTATTTGCTATAAACCACTACTAAGAGGTTAAGTATGCAGACTAATATCACCATACGCACCATGAGCTCCTTAACAGGAATAATTTTTTGATGCAGTAAATGCAGAAAATCGCATTTCAAGAACATTGACTTTGTCAAATCCACCACATTCACTTTGTCAAATCCACCAGAAAAACATCATCACAAACACTCCGCTACAGCTTCTGTGCACAAGAATAAGGCCACTTGCAATCCGGTATGTAACTACAAAAACAGAAGACAACACACCTGTATGGCTAGGTTTGCAGTGCAAATATTGTTAAGGTAAAATTCCCTCCCTGCGTACTTGTAAACAGTTGATTCTTTCATTCCATCCCACAATCAGATGGATCGTGAGATTCTCAGTGGCAGTTTTGGCATTTCGGATGGCATTTCTGATTATTAACATTGCAGCGACATCCTCCGCTGGTGTCTCCTGGACCCTGGGAAAGGATCACAATGATAGTTATCAAACCTTTAACTTACTTAAATGAAACCCTTTTAACTTCTAATGACACGTTGCCTTCATGACGAGAACAAATATTTGTTCTTTTGCAAGACCATTACACCCAAATTTAATGGATCAGGTCTACAAATCACATGAGAAAGCATTTCTTACCGTAGGTCCCCAGCGGGGTCCTCTCGTTACCCAGCAGATCTCAATGTGACAGACAGTGCAGCGCAGCCAATCGCATCCATCTCTCTTCTGCACAATGATGCCACACTGGGGACAGTGCATGGCCTCACCTGACTGCACAAGAGTCTAAAGGACAGAAGAAGAAAAAAGTCATTGTTTTATGTAGCTTACAGCGTGATCTCTATACTTGATTGATGTGGATCGGCCACAGCATTCATAGATGAATCTCATCTAGGCTTTTCCTTTCACAAAGGCTCCAGTGTATTCTGCTCGCCTTGAGTAGATGTGTCGTCCTCCTGGCAGCGGAATCATTCATAGCACGGGCTGCAAGATCGTCCTGGTACTGCTTACAGTTCATTCCCTCGTGGATAGACTGAGGACAGACGAAGAATAGAAACAGGGACAGAAAAAGAACCTCAGGAAAAAGTTTCTGATGTACAAAGATAGGAATATTCCTGCCTTTAAACAGAGGTTGGCTTAAGGGGACGAGAACCATTAAAAACAAGTGACTCTTGTATCGCTTATATCGATTAGATCTCATCTATCATCGCCCTCGCAAATTTGTACAATGATGGGGAGTGTGCTCATATTTGCATTTAATGCACCATCGCCAGTGTTTTTTAGTGTGAGACTATTTCCTGGAAACCCGGAAAACCAGTGAATGATCCAATAACGCGTTATTCATTCAAAACCTTGCAAATCAGGCAGTTGTGTTTCCTGCAGACGGGGCAGTGGAAGACATTGACCGTGTCCTCGTACACACACCAGCCCGGACAGTCGGGGGTGGCGCAGTGGTAGCTGCCCTCGCACCGGGACTCGGCCACCGACAGACCTCTCTGCAGCCAGCGCTCATACTCCTCTGCTGGCACCAACTGTGAAGGCAGAAGGGAAATTTGCAGAACACTACTAACAAGTTATAAAAAGAGGACTCTGGGTTTTATTTTACTCACGGCCCTGATCTCCCTCTCCTGCAGGGAGCACGTGCAGGAATACGTGTCGTCTCTATAGGGACAGGCCACCTCCGGCTCCTCACTCAGCATGATGACCGAACATAAGCACTCTCTGCCCAGACAAACACAGAGAGCAAGTATTATTTACTTTCGATTTTCATCAGCAGACCCTCACTCTGTCTCTTGTGGTACACAGGACCTTTCCACTTGGGGTAGATCTTCACCTGCAGAAGCAGTGGAGGCACTCCCTGAGGAGGACGCCCTCTCCGGGCTTCAGGTCCACGTAGCAGATCCTGCAGTCCACGGACTCCGGGTTAGGCAGCAGGTCGCGGCCATCCATCATCACTAACCGGGCGAAATTCTCCCCGCGCTCCTTTTCCCTTGCCTGGTACAGGGAGCGACGTGGTTGAGACGGTTAAAACAATGATCTGCAAACTATTTCCATCCATTTTGTGAAGTATCGTCGACTGATGTACACATGCAGACATTGTGTAAAACATTTTATTTTGATCCGTTTCCCAGAGTATATACAATCAACAGTGCAAATTTAACAATCAGGTTAATACATAATACAGTGGCATGCTCCCGAGGGATGAATCAAAAAGACAACTTTTTTTGCTGCAAGTCAACATGATTATCAATGTAAGACGTTCACGACCTTTTCACTTAAACCAAACCTTTTGCCAGCAGCTTGTACACGCAAAGCAAGGATAGTGGGATAGACAGATATCTGCAGGTTAACGTCAGAGGAGCAGACCAACACCTGTATACAGTTTACATCCCTACAGGGGCCGGACAGGGACAAAGGACAATACAAGTAGTGAGGCCAGGGAACCCCGGGAGAGCCTGACTAAAGTGTGCTTGCTTCTTGATACAGGCTCCAGTGCCAAAAAGGTGTGTTCATGTGAATTTTTATATAAATAAAATCTCCAATGTCAGAATCCGCCTCTTAAATCAGGTACTACTTTTCACCACAACAGATTTTCCATGTTTGGATAAAATCTGTTGACACATTTACTGCAAAAACATCATGAACATGGGAAAAACATTTGTCAGGGACGTGCCACCAACCGGTCTACTTGGTTTACCAATATCAGCCAGAAAGAATCCTCAAATAGGCTTCATCTGTGCATCTTAAATGAGCTTTTTAACCAACATTTACCTTCAGGGTAAAAATAACAGAATCATAGTCTTTCAATCCAAGCACATACACACATCATAAAAAGTCATTATTTCTTATGTGATCTTAAAACGAGTGTTCTATGAATGTAACGGAAATTATGCAACAAGTGCAACTTGTTTGTGTGTGCTCAGTAGTCCCGGTCCAGGTTATACAGGAGCGAGTTCTTTTGAGCCCTGGCACTCCTCAGCACCTCTCTTCTCCCTTTCTCCTTCAAAAAAACAGAGACAGAAGAGAAGAGAGTCAACCTGAGAGGGCCTGCAAATTAGAATTAGAATTTTCATTTTTTCCCTCCGTCGTATTTTTGTCCAACTTTGGAGCCTTTTGTTGTCTCACTGCCTGCCGGCTTTTTGATGAACCCTTCGGTTTAATGATACCAGATGGGACGGCGAAATGAGGTTTTACTCAGAGTATACATATACACATCCTGCTTCATACGTCGTGTTAGTTTTTCATACCTGCTGGTACTGTCTGACAGCCTCCTTCTCCTGCTGGATGCGTCTGAGTTCCAGTGCGTCTGGTCGGTATCCGCCAGGGATGACGTAGCTGTCCGGGCGGTTTGTACTGCAGATCTCACAGCCCGGCCGGGTCGGTTTGTTGATGTAAGTGCAAGAAGGACACGACCAACCCTGAGGCACGGAGAAGTTCGGTAAGAGAGTGAGAGAAACAGCACTGCGTGCAAGTTCTGTCATATCAAACAACTTTTCTGATGATTTATTTGATCAAAACGTTGATCATTTTGAACAGGGATTTGATAAATAAACACCACTCAAATACACCACCACTGCTGTTTATTACCTGTGTGGAGGCTGTTTTGGGAGTCAGTGCTTTGTTGAGTTGAGGCATCTCCAGGTTGATGAGATCTCTGATCTCATGGAAATTTCCTCTCTCTGACCCACCTGAAACCATGTCTGAGAGAAAAAAAAAATAGTAAAAGTTAAATGCAACATTCGTATGCGCAAACTATTCCAATATTACTCCACAACGCTGATAATAGGAGTCATGCAAACAGCATGAATCTGATTACTCGTACTCATACTTTTTTTGGTTTGTGTTTAACTCTTCTAAATAGCTCAGGTCCTAAATATTACATTGAAAAATGTTAATGCTACTGCTTCGTATTACTAGAAGAGCTTGTGATAAAGAAAACAATTTAAGAAACCTAGAGAAAAATGCACACTCTCCCCTTGCTCAATGAAATTGAAAAGTTAAAGAAAGAGGAATGCGATACCGGCCGCCTGGCGGGATACACCAACGCTGTCACTCACCAGTGTTGCTGCTGTTGTGGAGCCTCGGAGGCAGGGTGGCGTAAGGCCTCCGGGCCGGGGACGGGGCGCCGTTTGCAGCGGTAGCAGCGAGGTGAGGGCCGGGGAGAGACAGGGACTGGGGGCCGAGGAGGAGGGCACTCTCCTGGTCCCGCTGGAGGACTTGGAAGGTCAAGCGAGCGTGGCGGGCTGACAGGAGGTACAGGAAGGCCGTGTCCCCGTCCTGACGAACGCCGTATGAAGCCAGAGAGCGCTGGTCGGTGCACAGACACTGGCCAATCACCCAGCGCTGCACCCGCGGGTGGAAGCCATACTCAAGAAACATCTGAGGAGGTAGAAAACCAGAGAAAGGGGAACAAAAAAAAGAAGAGAGGGACATTGACCGTATAAACCTTTCTAGTGGCTCTTTTAGGAAAATGTGGGTTGTGGTTTTGAGCTATAGAAATAAATCTGACACAATTCTTTCAGGACACAAATGAAAAAGAATAATTCTTCAGACCAACCTGCTGTTTAAGTGCTGCGGTAGTCATGTGCGGGGAGACTTTCACAGTGACACAACAGGACGAAGATGAATCCTCAACTGCAACAGCCAAGCTGTTGATAAAACGAAACATGATGAGCCATGTTTTTTTGTCTTAACTGTGTCTTAGGATCTACTTTATAACACAATTTGAAATCTAAAACGTAACATTTTCGACCATCAATGATGTTTTTGAAACAAGAACTCAATAATGGTGATCCTCCTACTTGATTTCTGTGTCTTCATAGTCTTTGGCGGACGGCTGAATCTTGAGCGCGGCATGTTGTCGGGCGAGTGTGGCAGCAAAGTCAGAAGCAGATTGCGTGTCGCCTGCTTCTATGGCTCGGGTCAACTCTATGCAAGTATCCTCTATAGATGGACACACACATACACGCAGCACAAACACACACAAGCAAACAGACAAACCACTCGGGTGAAAATGCAGGCAAGTGTGTGCAGAGGATGTTGCCATACCTCCAAACAGCCACTAGAGGGCTAAAATGATTTAATGAAGGAATGAATGAATAAATCGAGTGAAATCAGTGAATTAGTTGGATCACATTTAAAAAAAGATACCTGGTATCTATCAGGAAGATGTTAAGGGCTCACCTTTTTGTTGCAAGGTGAGGGTGCTATGACGATGGAGACCCTCTAGGGGGGGCTGTGGATCATTTTCTTGAGGAGCGACTGTGAAGTGTGGAAAACCAGAGCAAGATAAAGAAAGAAAACACGAGTCCAACGTTACAATCCATCTGTCACTGTGGACGGGGATCTTTAACACTCCGTCAACACAGGAATGGAACATTTATCTTCACAGACAGAGACACCGTAAGAGAGTAAACAAGGGTGTATTATGCAAGTAGGCGCAGACCAAAATATTGAAATTCCCCCGTGAAGCCAAAACTTGAGCAGCGAAAAGCCCTTTTGTTACAAAAAATACGGAACCAGCTTAATTGGTCGAGCTCAATTTACTTTAGTAAAAGGGCAAATTAATTCCACCGGATCCCCCACAGAGATGTGTACTTCCCACCGTTTCGGTTTGAAAAGGCAGAAAGGATCATGTTACAAGTTATGAGATAATTACAGTTCTGCCATCCGCTTGCTGGGTTTGCTGCTATTTAAAACAGCGAGCACTTGGCAAGAAGAAGGGCGACCGACCTCTGCGTGCTTCACTCAGGGCAGAAATCACCACCGTAGCCCACTCCTGGGCCTCCTGCTCACAGCGGAAGTTGAAGCTGATGCGGTCGTGTGGAGGCGCCGCCAAACTCAGCTCGTGGGACTTCGGTGACTTCACCTCATATTTTACCGTCCTCAAATCGAACTCAGCAATGGTCTGTTAGAAAAAGGAGCGGGGGGAGATAGAATAAAGGAGACGAATGAGGTCTGAAAAAATCAGGCATGGCAAACGAACCACATCATTGAGTTAAAATCCAAGATTTTCACAATAATTATCGATTGGATGAATGTGGGATGCATTGGAAAACTGTTGCGTTACACTGCTTCAGTTTTATCCTGGTTTAACTAGTAAACTGCGACCGAGAGAAGCGATATAAAAACACTGTGTGAGTAGTAGTTTCAAGGTTTGACAGTGAATTGCGTGACACGTTCTTTGCATTTTCTACAAAGAGGGTTCAGGTGCACATTTAGCACCCTCCGACTACTCAAAAGGGAGGCTGCTTACAGACACAAGAGGCCTGAAACCTTGTTGTCTGTGCCGCTGCTTTTGGACCTTAGGTTTGAGAGTCCTCAGGAGGCGTCACAAAACATATCTGCAGTGGCGCCGAGATCGAAAGTGGCAGGTGGCAGGTTCCTTTTTCAGAACGGCATAAACCGATCTCAGAACAGCATGTAGCGGCATGGACTCGCTTCCTTGTCCATATGCGAATATCTTTTACGACTATGTGTTTAATGCTGTTCTGAAAAAGGAGTCTGCCACCTGCCACGTTTTCAATATCGGCGTCAAAGTAGTAAAGAGTCAAACAAATGTTTTGCCACACCTAAAGTGTGGAATCTTTTGATTGCTACTATTCTTACTTTTTGTATGTCTATTACCTGTAAATGACTATCTACATTGAGGCAGTTGAAATTGTGCGACATGTACCTTAACAAACCGTAATCCACCACATGTCCCTGAACTCACCACGCTGCGGCCGGTGCCGCCGCCGTCCTGTAACGTCAGCCGGAATTCCCCGGACTTTCCCGGGTCCATGCTCAGCTGCAGGCGGAGTGACTCATCGCCGGCTCCCGGAAGACACAGCGGCCGGATACCGGAGTGGCACACCGACACCCGCACCGACATGAGCACGGTCTGGCAGCCGAGTAGCGAGCCCGAGGCCCCGCAGGGCGCGGGGAGGGCGGCGGGGCGCTCCGGTCCGCACCCGGTGGCTTGAGTCCAGCCGCCTGAAGTCAGCGACATCCCGCCAGCTGGCTCATGTAGAAGACGAGATTCACGAGGGGTGGGGGGGGTACGGTGGGTTGTTTCCCGGATCCCTTAACGATATTTATAACACAAACGTTACATGTCGTCGTAGGGTATTTAACGCGCACACTGACAACAGAAAGCAAGTTGTGTCAAACTGTTGGGAGCGACTTCCAAAAAATAAGTGTCGCCCCGGCGAAAGGTTTCACTTCTCTCTTCCTCCGTGTTCGTTAAAGTGTCGTTTCGGGGGGGTTCAGTCTCCCCCACGGCGCCACAAGCAATAGCAGTATTCCTCCAGAAGTTCCATTCCCTTTCTTAGATCAAGGTTATTGAGAATAGAAACGATGAGTATGTTGTTGGCGTTGTTGTTGTGCGTCCAGCTTTTACCACCTGCTGCGCATGCGCGGTAGCTTGTCTTCTTCTCTTACTTTTACACGGGCCTCCGTGGTTTCGCATTGCTGCCATCTTCTGGATGTATTAAACTCCCACAGTGTCCTGTTTCTCAGATCTCTCTCCACTTGATTTGACCTTCTATCATCCGCATTTTTATTTTCATCCCTGTCTACATCAGCGTTCGTGAGAAGGAGTAAGTAAACCTTTTTTAAACTCCCTTTTAATCCCAAAACAACCCTGACGTGGTCATCACACATTTCCACCCCGATGAAGCTCAAAAGCGCTTGTACTTCTGAAAGGAAACTTTTACGAACAAAGCAACAGAAAGCTCCTGACTGGAGACATTATAATCTGGTGTGGGATGGCTGAACATCACAGACCCATCTACCCCATGGTGACAGGTGGGGCTCTAAGGACTATAAAAGTAAAACACCCACTCGGCTGTGGCCTGTTCACCCGACTGCCAAATTTAGATCTCCAGTTTCAATTTAGAATATCAACTTCTTACCCGATTTGAAGAAATTACTTCTTCGGTTGGACCCTTGTGAGGTCAATCAGATCTCCCCCCCGTGTCTGGCCAGTTGTAGGGCACAATCGCTTTTTGGTGGATCCAGAAGTAGCCACTTTCTGGACGTCCTCAAGTCCTGCCGACGCCAAATTGTGGTGGAAGATTTCCTCCCCAAGTGGGAGTGAAGAATAAAAATCTCTGGAGTCAAAGTTGTCTTTTTCCATTTATTTCCTTGCAAGAGGACCAACGTTTGCAACAGCTATGGAAATCAGTGCAAGCTTCTACTCCTAGTTCAGAGTATCACACAACGCTATGTCTCTATACACACACACAGGGAATAGCTCTTTGGATTTATTATGTGACAGATACTGGCACCGAGGGGCTCCAGGACTGGGAAGCCTCACAATGTAGTCACAATACATTTTTGATTAGATCTGAGAGTCTTTATGGCCACCTCTGCCCTGGTTCCTGGTGTCAAGGACCAGGAGCTACGTCTCCAATTCTTATCAGTTGACGACCCGAGACACTTTTACGCACGCATCTGTGTTTGAAATCAGAGACCAGAGAGTGTTTCTGCGTCTCTTCTGCTCAGATATTTATCAGACTTTGTCACTATTAAAGTCATGATACGCTTTAGACATTAACCGTATAAAACATTATTGTATCATTATGTTTTACCATTACAGCTTCTTTCCTCTGACTTTTCATATTCCATCCTGCACCACAAAGACAATAAGTGAATCCACCAACACTGCTTTTTCTGCAAATAAACACTTCAAACCCGAAACATTCCTCTGGTAACCCTTTGTGGTTGCTTACCTGACAATGTTCACAAAGACTGGTAGGATGCATTCCTATTTAGTGCCTTTCAGATTACCCTGTCCTATTCTTATCTAGTTAATGTTACTTCCTGTTTTCTGTTTATTTTCATTGCAACATATTTTCTCCTATAGAACTGAAAGTAAATCTTGTCCCCTAATCTCTCAGTGCTGTTGCCACTCTTTAATATTGTTTTTTTTCACCGCAACAATGCTTTTTGACTTTGATATAAATGTCTTTGTTTTATATTTTAACAGCTTGTTCGCTCAACAACACAGTTTAAAAACCACACAGGTAATAGGCCATATTACAGTTGGACACAACTCCTTTCGACATTCTCCCAAATCTGATCCTATATGATTAAAGACCGGTCACGTCCGACTGCTAGCCCCTTTTATGCATATCCATAACTTTTACTTAATGTAACCTCGATGTAATTGCAGCTACTTATTCACATGTCAAGGATACAATGTTGCCTGCCCATGCCGTGAAGCATTATATAAAGTATGTGAATGAATATCCTTATACCACAAAGGGGCAGCAAAGCATCACATATATATGAGCGCTTCCTTCTCTTCCTGATATTAAATCTGCTGTTATGTGTTTCTGTCATTTTAGGAAGGTTTCTAAAAACATTCGACCAGTTACTAAAATATTGTCTAATTTTATATATTAAAAAAATCCAGCAGTATAAAGGAATTTAAATATGCCACGTCTCTGCAACATCAACCTTTAAATTCATCAATAATTCTAATCCAGCACTTTGCTTGTAGATTCTGTATTACGCATGCCTTTCCGGTTGATGAAATAGATCAGTAAAATTCTGATGTGTCCCCTCATATATGAGCCGGCATGCACAATTAAATTAAAGGTGAATTTCAGTCACCATTGATTACTCTATTTAGTACTCCATTGTGCTTTTCCTTCTTTGACATACCAAACTGAGTTTCTGCAAAACGGTATTTCCAATCACTTCATCCCAGCAGTAGAACACCTGTAAAGAGTTTTCCTGAGGAGACTTCTATGGGACTTGAACCTGAACCGGTGTATAAACTGATGGACTAGGCTGAAGCAGTGAAGCATTTCTTTGTTGATCCACTGTTAAATGACTCTATGAATAAAGAAAATATATAACTACTATCTCAAATGGACAGCACACTTTCTCGTTTAAAATCAAGTCTGTATGTCTTTTCTATCCTTTTAACTGCTCAGATGTGCGTTGGATATTGTGGAGCATTTTGCAATTCGCAGTCTGAATGCCATTTGTTCTGAATGAAATCCTTCCCCATCAGGCGATACCTTCAAACGGATGTCTCTGCTAACCACCGACTCCCCGTTTGAATGGACGTCCCCTCCCACGCGTTCTGTGGGTCACGAGTTATGAGGCAGTTAACAAAATATACTGTAGAGCGTACGGGGAATGATTTAGACCACACAGCACGGCGGGTTCAAGCTGTTAATCATTCTGCGAGCAGGGTTCTCTCAATCAATACCACATGAACCTTTTTGCCTCCATTCACAGACGCAGCGGCAGTACGGAAAAGGGTTCAGCCATTTAATCAGGTGCTGTCATCGTGTCACATGTCGGAGACAAAGCCTTTCATAATGAAATATTATGATACAAAAAAGCCAATCTTGAGCGTGGAAAAATTTGACCTAAGATGTGATTCCTGAATTGAGAGGAGTGAATATTGTTAGGTTTAACAAACAGGATTGCGGCTGAAATGTGGCATCAAGAGGAAGCAGCAAATCGCCCAGGCTTTTATAAGAAAGGGGTCGCTATCATAAATCAACGTGGCTTCATTATCTTAGGATTCTTGCATGTTGTGGTGTGATTACACATCCGCAGGTAGTTTTCTTCTCATTGTTGCAGCCATACTCTCCCTCAGGAAGGACATGTCTGCATAATACAATCTGATCTCATTCCATAATAGAATTATGGCAGTGCTCCCCGGGGGTGCACATGCACACACACCTGGTCACACACACACACACACACACACACACACACACACACACACACACACACACACACACACACTAATAATTCATCTACTTAAAACACATATTGTGAAGAAACTGAGATTACAATTTAGTGTTATTTTAAATTGTAAGTATAGAGGGAAATGGTCGCATGAACCTACAACTACAACCAATAGAGCTGCAACTCATTTGTTTTAATTATATTCTATTGTTTCTCTTCTCAAAATAATCAATAAGTTCAATAAATGTTCCTTCTGTAATGAATTTAAACTGCAGCCTTGTCTTACAACCAGTACAAAACTCATTTTCATTGAATTTACTAATATAAAAGAAAAAGAGAATTGACACATTTTCCCATTTGAGAATTTCGAACTAGCAAATGTCCTCATGGGACTCAGTCGATTACCCGGCTGATTGGTTGACTAATCTGGAGAAGACTAACCTGAATGCCAGTCTAAATCTACACAAAATGCATCCTCCATTTCACGCCTGTTTATTTTTATTCGTAACTATTGTCAAAATGGGAATGTCTTGCATTTTCATGCATTCGTGTCAAGTATCTATGAGTTCAATGATGTTTTACGCGTTGTGATACTGGTAAGTGTGTTGTGTGAGGCAGTGGCTTGGAGACCAAAACAAATTTCCCTGTGGGACAATAAAGTACATCTTAACTTACTGATCTTAATCATCGTAGATCTACACATCTATTGCAAAATCCATTGGCTTGGATCTTCAAATAAGTAGTTATTTCTTCGAACATTTATAAAAAAAAACCACATTAGAATGTCACTTGTGATCTTTACCGGCATTGGCCCAGGCCCTCAGGTGACCTTACACCTGTCACATTGCAGTGGGAGCAGTTCTCCTCGGCCTTTGCTGTAACCTCTCAACACAAAGACTTGCCACTAATATGAATTCACATGCACACAGTGTGTTTTAAGCTCTCACTCCCTCCTGAATCAGTATTATATTCAGTTTTTTGGCTCAGTGATATACGTTCCTCTCTAAAAGATAATGTTCCCAGCTGCAACACTAACACTCATTTGATTGATTGATTGACATTTGATACCAGATGTTGTTTTACTGTCTTGACGGTGACAGCACAGCTGCGGTGAGCTGTTCAAATCGAGAAATCTCTGGAGCTGAATCGTATTGAGAAAAGTTCCAATAAGGGCAGTTTTCCGGTGCCGAGAATTCGCCACGTTTTTTTGCTTCTATATGGCCTCGCCGCTTGTAGTAGGCTGATTGATGAAAGCCTCGTCAAAAAACGCCCACCCCGGTCTGTCAGACCTACTTTGGGTGTCGGGTCCCCCCCATGTTCACTGATACAAAGTTGTCCGCGTGTTAACGACTTACTGATGGACGGCTCTGCTGCGTGACACACGTCAGGAAAACTCCCAAACTGAACCTCCTTTCTCCAAAAGATGAGGAGGGGGGTTAAAGAGTGGGAGGAGAGGATGCGGGGAGGGGGTCTGAAGCATCCTGTAGTCCGGCATCACTGTCTGTGCGACTGACGTTCCATGATTCATCATCCAACCACAGCATGAGCATCGCGGATATATAAGCTGGAGCACACCTGCTCAACAATAAACGACTTCAGACCTCCTCCAACTGACCGCAGCTTGTTCCCAAAGTTAAGGTAAGACATTATTCTATTGTTTTATTTGTTTATTATCATCATCTTTCTCTTTTTTTTTAAGGAGAATACGGACACCAATATGTTATGTGATAGATAGATAGATAGATAGATAGATACTTTATTGATCCCTCAAGAGGGAAATTTCGGTATCACAGCAGCATGTACAGGGAAGAAAATAGAATAAAAAGATACACATTATATACAATATAATAAGATAAAAATATTAAATTATTAAATTAAATTAAATAAACTAAACTGAAACAAAACCTTCAAAAAGAGACAATAATAATAATTTGTAAAAGGAGAAGAGGAAGAGGAAGAGCAGCAGCATCACAGCAGTACAGGGTTGTTATTGTTGTTATTTGGCCAAAGATGATTTATTGTAAAGTGTTATTGCACTGGGCAGGAATGAGCTCCTGTATCGGTCCATGTGCATAGTTTATTTAGATTTTCTTTGGAGATACTACTAGTTATTTTGAAATAACTATTTTATCACTCATATAACTGCTTTGTGCTACACCTGTTCAATGGGTTGAATGAATAAACAATATTGATACTTTTGTAAATCCTAGTAATGTCAGATTATTCTAGTGCTTTATGAGCTTTCGGTGCTTAAACGATTTAAATGTCAAGTCATTTTCTATTTCGCCAAAGTCCTGAGTGTTACTGCATGACGTTAATACATTTTAAGTTTAATTTGATCACTTCCCAGTGTCCTTTACACCCTGTTTGATACTTTACCGACCAGCGTCCGTCCCCTGCGTCCTCTCCCCACAACATGCTGCCGAGTGGAGCGGTCGATGTCCGGCGCTGCGTGCTGACGAGCCGCTGGCTGCCCGCATCTCTGCTGCTCCTCCTCCTCCTCTCCTCCAGCCTCAGCCGCGCTCACAGCACCACGATGGAGCACGACTTCCACATCGCCCACAATGTCGACAACAGAAGTAAGACGTGGTTTCTTTATTATAAGCGGGAGGAGATGTGTGCGATGTGGTTTTGTGTCTTTACTGTAACACGGAGGAGATGTGTGACGACAGACTGAATAATGGAACGAGTTTTACAGATGTTTGTGCTCTGCTTTTGTACCATTTTTTTTCAGCAGAGATTTGTTTTTAAAATATCCCTCTTCTTTACTGTTAGATCTAAGACGTTCAAGTTGCTTTTACTGTATTTTAGCTATTCGTTTTGAAGAGAGATGCTCAACAATGTCAGTCTTGGAATGAGGAATATGCTTTGCGTTTTTTTAGATCAGCTTTGAAAACCATCCATGTTCATGTGTATAAAGACAATAATCTATATGAACACTTGTTAATATAGATTATTATTATGATTATTATCATGATGAAATATATAAACCAACTAAAGATCGAAGAAAAGTGGATATGGAAATTGAAATCTGTGAATGTTGTACACATGATCAGCTCCATTGATGTTCTTGATGTGGTGTCCAGGTCCAGAGATAGACCCCTTCTGGTACGTGGGACGCGGGGTGAGACCCATCGGCCGCTTCGGGAAAAGGCACGGCCCCGGGGAGGCCGTGGGCAGCAGAGGGGTGCAACCTGTCCTCAGGGCTTTAGGGCTGGTGGTCAACAGCCTCAGAAACAAGGACAACTTTGGGAAAGTGCTGGACAGGGAGGACAGGGATTGGTTACCAAGACAGCGAGTCCTACTCCCTTCATCTACAAACTCCAGAGTGTCTTTTTTTTAATCATGATTGAGGTTATAAACTCAATTGCTCTTACATGTATTTCTCTCTGGTGTCTGATATGAGGCCTTAATCATTGTTATCTGTACATAAAATGCATTCTATATTGATTAATAAACAAGGGTGTTGTGGTTATATCTGTAAGTCACTTTGCCTCTATAGCCTTCCATTACTTGTATGTGCACAAAAAACAGTTTTCTCAAAGGGGAAAGCTTTACTTTTGCAAATTTTATTCATTTCGTAATACATTTTTATCTCGCAGTACTGTAGCACATAGAGAAACTGTATTTTTTGCATGTTAGTATTTCACCCAACATATGGATTGCACCATATGATTGCCCATTGAAGTGGATGGGCCGCCTGTGGCGCTGCGCACAGTGAACCACATTGTAGTCATTCACACTGGATTTAAACGGGAACAAAAGTGAGATCAGTTTTTAGCTCTTTGTGAATATCTGGGCCACAGTTACATATTAAATTGGATTTCCTGTGTGAATCCAGCCCTACAAGTCATGACAATTATACACGGCCTCTTGCACACAACACTGAAAGATTGGGCAATACACATATAATTCTATATCATATCCATCTTTTCACACATATACATCTATTAATAAATTCTGTGATGAGATATATTTTTTCTTTACATTAGAAAAATACTGGACACTGATGATTGGACCGTTGTGGCTGTGCTTCTCGGGGAACATTTTACATACATGGCTTTGATAAAACCAGAAACATGCTTTTATACATCAACACCTGCGGCAGAACCAGATTGACAAAACGTAAAGGATCAATGTGCAAAACCCAAAATGCGAAAGGTCAGTAATAGAAGGGGCAGAGCGTTCATACGGAAGATCACACCTTGTAGCTCAAGCGTTCCATCAGGGAAACCAACTTTTGCTCTTTCCACAGCAGAAACTTTGACAACTAGTAGGCATGGCGGACTGATATTCTGACTAATGCAGGTGGTGAGAGAGTAAAGAACAATAACCCAAAAATGAAAGGCAGTATTCTCACATCTAGTGTTTAAGGAGTACAAATACAGTAGGAATCGTGTCTTCCCGCCCGTGTTTTTAGTAAAATTACCATCTTCATCGCTGGCAGGATATCGAATGGTAAATGCAGGCGTACACTGAAAGCACGTTGAGTCATCACACACGGGAGCCTGATAGGACTGACCGAGGGCTCCTTTGAGGAGAGAATAAAGCCTTTGATTTGCAATAGTACTTATATTCGTGTTATTGCATAAAAATGTTCATTAGGTAGAAAAATAAATTGCTTGTAACAAAATCATGGTTTCATGGCATTTGTTGTATCGTCCGTCAGTCTTCATTATGTAAAAATCTTTACAAGATGTAACACAAAAGTCTGGCAAAAGGAAAACATAAAAAACCCCACCTTTTCATTCAAACAAAAGGCCACAACGTTTGAAAGTAAACAAAGTAAAATACTTTGGATTGAAGAATTCTGCACAAGGGAAGGCTCTCCGACCAAACCTGAATATCAAACAAAGGCTTGTGTCCAGCAGTTAGTCTGACATTCAGACCGTATTTGATTAATTTCAAAGTAAAAGCTTCCACATTAAGGCTGTAGTTTGTGTGCGTGTGTGTCTGTCTAATTGTAAATTGTTTCCCATTTCTAAATAAAGGGAGAATACTTCTCCAGTTTAATCTTTTGGCGTTCATTTAAAGGAAAAGTTGGATATTATGGGAAATATGCATTTCACCGACATATTCACTGTGAGGACATCGCAGAGTTGTCTTTCTTCTGCTCTAACTTTTGGCAAAAAACAAACTCTGAATTATTCCTCCGACTATTTGTTTTTGACAAAGTCGACAAAGTTCTCAAGTGTGCTTTGTGTTCCATTATTGCCATCTAGCTAAAATTATTTTGGCCCTTTGTATATTTAACACACGTATTATGTGGTATGTGCATGACTACTTAAAATGGTTAAAATTCATTCAAAATCAATTCTCAAATGACGATTACTTTCCTCTGACACTCCACTGAAGCCTCTTTTTGGGATACTGAATCACAGAAAGTTTCACATGATTTTTTTTCCACGTCTTCATTAGACAGTAAATCACAATACTCTTGCAAACTGATAGAAAAAAAGGACACAAGAGTTAATTTTGTCTGTACAGATATTCTTTTTTTTCAATCGGCTCCTGATGAGTTTTTACAGATGTTTAAGGCAGAGACACAAACTGCTGAGTCATCCTTTCTTGATATCATGTGCGTGGCGACGACAATCGTGATGGAGAATGAAGTGGAAAGAGAAGAAAGTGACGGTCAACCCTTCCGCGACTGGTTCACTGCCGGGGTGCCGTGCCCGGCTGGGTGCTTCGCGGGTCTCTCAGGGCGGTTGCTTGGCCTGGAGATGGAGGCGGACACTGGGTCAAGGCACTGGATGAGACGGCCCCCGGTCCGCCGGGGCTCTCAAAGCGGCCCCGCCGGACTCGTTGTGCTGCTGACTCTGACTACGGCCGAAACACTTTAACCGGCTGCTCGGGCTCCAACTTTTCTGAAATGACGCAGGGAAAAAAAAAGAAGCATTTTAGCAAATCAAACTTTTTAAAAGAGCATCTCCAGAAGAAGACAAAGTTATTCAAAAATATAGAAACTGTTATGAACATATGGCTCAGATGAACACAGCTAACTTGTCGCTGAACGGCACTGCGTGATGGACGGACAGAAAGGACATGCAGAGCTGGACTCAATGATATGATTACATGTCTTGGTCACTGATTTTGACCCATTGTCCTGCTGTCCGTCTTTGGAGCTGTGCTGAAAAAGCCACGCTGAATCAGCGCTATTGTATATGAAAGCTGCCGAAGAAAGAAAAGAGACAGAAATGCAAATAAAGACAGCCCCAACTGAAAAAAGGCCATTCAGCGATATGAAAGGGATCCGACTTCTTGTTGGTTGATAAAGCACCCGTACCCTCCGGCGCTGTGCCCGTTTCCCTTTGGCTGCTTTACATCTAATGGAGCTTTTCAGTTAGTCCCTTTGGAGCAGATGTGTTCGCTCTTACATCCATTTAGATACCAATCTGTTCTTCTAGGACAAAGTCCAAATGGGCGATGTTAACCAAAGGTCCCCTCGTCTCTGTCTCACTCCCCATCCCCAGCGGCCTTTGTTTCACACAGCGAGCGTGTGAGCACGGGGCTGCTAAGCAGCGTTTCCGTCCCTCTCGGCCCTTCAATTTGTGATTTCTTCTTGTAACAGCCTGTTTTCTCCAGCGGCCTTGCCTTATTTTCCTTTGTTAAGCACTAAGGCAGTGGTTCCCAAACCTTTTCTGTCAGGGCCCAGGGACATTGTAAGACCCCCCCCACCCGCACCCTGACCAACCCCCTCCCCAAACAACAAAAAAAAGGGTTGATCCTTCTTTGTTTTGAATCAATTGCGTCATAATACATCAACTCTATAAAAAACGTGTTTTAATAAAATACCTACATATCACTTTACTTTTCCACTTAACATTTATATTATACAAATGTTAACCCATTTTCAAGCAAATTTAATTCAAATATTAAAAATGAATTTAGGAACACTGCAAAAAGTTAAATTTCCAAATATAACAGGAAGTTTTTCAAACCCTTTTTTCTGTGTCGCACCGTGTCTTTTTTGGTGTCTCTCTGATGCCCGCCGTCTCTCGCTCTCTCCCTCCGTCCCTCACTCTGCCTCTTTGCTGCGGTTGTCCGAGCCGCTCTGGAGGCCGTGGTTCGAACACAACGCACGTTTTTAGGGCCACAACCCCCAGTTTGGGAACCAGTGCAATAAGGCACCAAGGTGCTTAACAACTATATAGGTTCAATCCAATATATAATATTTATATAAACATATGATATACATCTAAATCTACTAAATGTATTTTATTGGTCACTCTTTGCTAGACTGTCAAAAAGTAAACCAACAATTTACTTTATTAGAAATCAATGCTGATTCCTTTTGAAGTTTGGATTCGTCAATGTTTGGACTATAATTTCTCTCATTGCTTACATTTGGATTATCGATTCACATTGTTTGTGTTATTATAAAAACGTGTTACCTTTCAGTGGAGGGGCTGGAAGCTTCCTCCTTTGATGGCGTGATGAGTCCAGGGTCTGAGGCTGTAACCAGAGTATCAATCCTTCAGGCTTTCAGCTATATGTTCTCATTTAGTATCAGATTTAGCTATTTAATTAGATCCACAAAAACCTCAGTAAGACAGGCATACGTTGTATCAACTACATGTCCGTCCTTGGGCTGATATCACTTAACATACTTGCTTAACGGTAAAATGTATGCGTACATAACCAGACGGTGATATTTTCAGGGCATTAAGGGTCACTAAGTTACCTTAGCCTTTGGCTTGAACTTGGAGAAATGGTTGCAGACGGTCACATTCATCCCAGCTGTTTTCAGAGCTGATATCCTGGCCTCGATGTTGGAAATCTTAAAAGGACACACAAACCTTATTTAAAAGCACAATTGAATTCAACATAAACAATGATCCAAGATCTACAGTATCATTGAGTTTCGCTGTCTGTTGGCAAAAGGGTCGAATCCTCCCAGCACCTGTAGTTCTGACTGCTGAACCTGAGCGGCGGCGGTGGCCACCTGGTCCTCCAGGAAGGCCAGCTCTGCGTCCGCGGTGCCACTCTCAATGCCGCGGGCGCACTGCTCCAGGTGGCCCAGCGCCCCCTCCAGCCCGTACACCGCCCCAGCGGCCAGGTACACCTGTCAGGGGACGAAGAAACCGGTGAGACTGAATCTCCAGAAGCTTTCATTGCTGGGTAGAACATCCTCACGTTCTCCTCCATCTTGGTCAGCCTTTGGTCCAGCTTGCGGGTCTCGGAGCTGCTGGAGAAGGGAGAAGCACTGACGGACTCAGAGGGATTGTGTCTGTCGCCTCCCGCCTCGCCGATCAGCTCCTCTGTAGCGTTCAAAACCTTCAGCACCTCGGTGGTGATGCTGCAGAGGGACGCCGCAGAGTACTTCTGCTTCGAACACGCACGCACGCACGCGCACACACACACACACACACACACACACACACACACACACACACAGTACAGTGGTACAGTTAGTAAGTCAAAAACTTCATATATTGACAAACTTAAGCAAAAGTCCGCCCAAGTAGAGGAAATATCTTTCATTCAGTTATAGTTGTGTGACATTATAAACGGGAGAAACGTGTTAAAATCCTGGAAAGGACACAAATAAAGTTATTGTGGTTATTATTATTATTATTAGTATGTGTTATTAGCAGCACGTCACATGTGAAAGGTGTGCAGGTGACCCATTCACACGTATCCGTCCCTTGTTTCTCTGTTGCCTAATCACTTGTTTTTTGACATGGACGTGCTTGCAACCAAAAGGTGCGGAAAGAAAGAATTGGAGGTGAGAAATGCAGCAGAGACGAGGAAAGGATCTTAACAGACAAAGCCTGAAGGGATATTCTGTCTCTGTTGCTTTATGCTTTGATCAGTAAAATAATATATCTTATTACTGTGCAGCCCATAATCAGTTTTGACCTTTCAGTGCAAAAACTGGTTGTTCCAGTCAGAGATGACAGGAGCAGCTTATTCATCCAAATCCGAGCATGTTTCCCAATTCAGGCCGTTTCTAATAAATTACAAATCAATGGTGAGGATGCCTCAAAGAAAGCCCCTGTTTGTTTATGGATAGATGAAAACAGTAAGCGAGGAAAGAAAAAAGCGGCGAAGAGAGACGGATGTAATTCAATAACGAATGAATCACTGTCTGAAGCTTTGATCAGTGGGATCGGAGGCGTATTGATCGTTCACAGCCAGACAGGCGGTTTGAAAGAAAGTTTTCGGTGGTGACAAGAGAGGCGGGGACCAGATACAGTACTGTGTGAGAGATGAGGCAGAGGCAAACCGAGGCTCTTATCTCAAAAGAAAATCACTATTCTGTGATCTTAAAAAGACTTTAGAAGCAGAGATGGACGGTCTGAGATATTGACCGGAGTTGGTCGATGGAATAAAAGAAATAGATGGCTGGTAAGAGTCTGAAGAACCAGGCCGTCACAGCATCAAATAATCCGTCACTGATGTAGAAAGATAAAACAAAATCTAGGTAAAGAAATATAATGCAATGCCCAGAACATAAGCGGTGTGTTGCATGTAATACTTGACATCAGGTAATTTGGGAGTCTACTTTCTGGTAAATTAACAAGAAATACACCAGAAAAGTCTAACATCAGTTCTACTTTTACTTCTTGTTTTGAACCTCTGCAATATTCCCATAAGGTGAAATACGTCGACGTAACATTGGATTGGATAGAGGGACATGCATACATCCACAAACACATGCATTGGTTGTGGGTTTAAGTGAGACATGCACAGACACACAACGTCCCCTCCGACCGCCAACGCTGACACAGTTATCTCTCTACAGCAAAGTTGTGTGTCCCGTCAAAAGAATCAACGTTGTATCAGTAGCTTTTGGAAATCTCTGTCATCAGGGGCAGGTTCAGGAACTACTTAGTGTCATTTACTTATCTTGCATAAAAAGCCACAAATATTCTTTTATTCATATCAAACAGAGCCGCCTTGGTCCGGTTTAAGAGAGAGCTGTGAAAATCGGAAACGGAACAGATGACGCTACGTGTTTCATACACATTGTAAAAGACGAGCATTACTCACAGGAGCCCTTATAACGACCAACATCGACCCACACGCATCAGATGCAACACTAGGGCAGGTAGTAAGCGCCCGAGTGCCTGTCCATGTGTGTATTTTACTGGCCTATCGACCTGCCTATGTGTGGGTTTTGACCGTGAGCTCGTGAATGGCGTGGGTTTACTACGTGGTGTTAGGGATTTAAGCCAGAAGTGCACCCCTAGTGGTGGAAATTATAATACGTGGAATAATGTTTAGTGTTAGAATTGTAGTTTGTGTGTTATTATATATTAGTTAGTACAAAAGCACGTTAGATGAAGTGAATGCAATTTGAATCAAACACAATTCATAGTCATTTAAATCATATAAACACTGTACACATTAACATTCTGTCACAATGTGATGTTAAAACCTGGCGACGGATGCTAATTGCCGTCATTTATGGATTTCTCCCAATTTTATCCCCAAAGAGGGTTTTTGGGGAGTTTTTTCTCCTGTCAGGTAATAAACAACTTAATGTAAGGCAGCCGACTGAGGCAAATGTCTTGAGAATTGGACCACATGAACTGTCTTAGATCTTTGATGAAGTGTGATGAACGGTGATCATTAATGATGTGTTGTAATTAAAGTGTACTAGTTATAAGATGAAGACTTAAACTATGCATGCTTTGTTATATTCACTCATTGAGGCATAAAGCCAAATGTATCTACATTGAATGCATTGGAATGTGAGGGACAGATAGTACAGTGAGGTTTCAGGCTACAGCTTCACACCTCGACGTGAAGAGGACAATCCAGGAGGGGACACTTTGAAGGAGAAGCCAATGACATTCAAGAAGAGACACACCTCAAGACTTTTCAAAGGACCAAAGCGGGGAAAGAATTGTTAGAATTTTCCTGCTGCCGCTTTGATAAGATAAGATAAGCACTTTAGACTTGCTCAGAGAATTCTCTATTTGGCAAAATATTTTACTGTTCGCTTTGTATTTGACTTTGTAATTGTAATCCTTATTACGTTGTTTAGTCATTAAATACTTTTAGATTTTTGAATTTAAACAAATTGACTCTTTTGTATCTTCGTTTCCGGCCAGGATGAGAACAAAGGAGTCGGGCCTCCCTCAAGAGCTTTGCGAACCCTAACAGTGGAAATATCCATAAGCTTAAACACTGCTTTTAACTTAAGGGGGGGTCCTTTATCAAATGTGGGCCATTTTTTTCAAATTTGTTTTTTCTTCTGACACAAAACACAACTGCGCTTTGAGGCTGTTTTTCATTCTGACCTTTGGAGGCTTTTCTTGATGAAAAAGAAATATACTCGCAGCTCTACCGTGATGGACGTCTTCTGGTGTGATTGATAAAAAAAACACTGCGAGGCCAAACACCTAAAATGTCACCGCTCTTCTCTCTGTGTAGGCACCTGCCACCTTTTCTGCTACTCGCTTGCTAAGACGTGAAGCTTTCCTACCTGCAGGAACACAAAATACACCAGCAGGCACATTCAGCTCTATAACGGATCTGCGTGTGTGCTCGTGTGCGTGTGGATATGTGTGACGTTCGTAGATGCATGTTAGGGTGGAGGTTTGATTACAGCTGCATGTTCTGAGAGACACCATAGAATCCTATTGCTTTCTAGCCAATATCTCACCTGCTGTAAGAGAGAGGAGAGCAACCGCTGTCCCTCCTGACGCGCATGCACATAAACACACACACACACACACACACACACAAACACACACACACACACACACACACACACACACACAATCGCATGTACAGACATATACACGCACACAAACACACACACACACAGGAAAACCACACCGACCAGCCGGAAAAAGAGGGAAGCACAGAGAAGGAGGGAAGCACAGGACGAGGAACACATGAGGACAACGGTCATATAGAGAGAGGAAAGTGGGAGGATGAGGAGGGGGTTTTTTTTCGATGGAAAAAAATTACGTGAAAATGATTCCAAGCAGACAGACAGAAACAAAAGCAGAGGAGAGGAGCGGTGGACACCGATGCACTGGCTTCTGTTCTCCGTACCTGGTTGTCTGAGAGCACCCCCTCCTGGGAAGAAGGTGTAACAGCAGGGGAGCTCGCGCTGGATCCACTCCGTCTCACTCCCCCTTTCTGTCCCGTCTCTTTCTTCACGTCTCTTTTATGTTGCTTCTTACTTTGTCTGCTCGGCTCTCTCTTCTCTCCCCTCTTTTGCTCCTGGTCGTCTACACTCTCCTCCAAACATTCCACTCCCATCTCCAACCTCCTCTCCCTGACTCTTCCCTCCTCTCTCAGCGAAGCACTCTTCATCAGTCTCGCACTTCTTTTCGCCGCTTGTCCATTCACTTGTTCCGCCGTTTCACTTGCCGCCTCCATTTCCCCTTCGCCGGTCCCGTCTCTCAATCTGTCACTTCCCTTCGGCTTTTCTCTTTCCGCGTCTTTTGGCCTCGTCTTCTCCCTCTGTCCCTCGCGTTCTCTATACGTCTGTCTGTCCGCGGGCCGCTTTGTGCAGTCCTCCTCGGACGAGCTGCTGTCTCTGCTTTTGGCACGTCTGGCAAAGTGGCTCAGTCTGGATCGTAGCTCCTCTTCCAGAGGGTCTCCCGGCCCTTGGCTGCAGAGCGACGGCTGGGACCCCGGAGCCAGAGAGTGGGGCCGCGGAGGGACAGGGGGGGGCGACAAATTTGGATCCACTGTGTCCAAGTCCTCCGGCTCGGGTGTAATGGCATCTGATTTGTCCGGTGTCGCTGTGGCCGTTGGCGTAGTGTCGGGTGCGGACTCTTCCTGACTCAAACCCCTCTTCAGAAGGGCACTGAGTAGAAAACCACTGTTCTCCTTTCCAAGGGAGACAAAGGGACAGAAATACAAACTCTGTGATCAGACGTCAAATCGTGTTTATTTAAAGAAAAGGAAATAAACCAAACAAATTGCTGAAAAGAGACCCTGGGGGGAAAATGTTTAACTCTAAATTTCTCACAGGGGGGAATTTAAAGTCGGTAACTAACACTTCCTACAACTGCTGGGGGGGGGGTTACCTGCACTAGTGGGTAGATGGACTCTGGGTAGCTCTGGCCTCCAGCTTTGCTCTGCTCTGCCGTCGACTCTCTCTTGCTTTTCCTGCGTCGCCGCGATCTTCTGACTGGATCGCTCTGCCTCTCCTCAGCCTCGCTGCTGTCTCCCATGACCTGGGAACGGGCAAGTACTTAGTTATGAGGTAGTTGTACGATCCACGCTATACTTCCAATTGAAAACATTGATGGTAAATAATAGTGTGCCTCTTACTCCACTGCAGTATATCAAAGAGAGACATCTAACAATACAACACGCAAGACAAAGGTTTCTGACCTTGGGGTTAAAGTTGACGTCCAGTGCCTCAGAGTGCAGTGGGTACGGAGAGACGTTCTGGTGTTGGTGCTGGTGGTAGAGCGGCTGGTGATGCGGGTGCAGGTGTGCGTCCGGTGGCCCTTTCCGCCTCAGCAGGTTGTGCGGCGGTTTGCGGGGACACGCCGGCGGCACCGACGAGGCCTCCGAGTCCGAGTTGAGAGTCTCCGTGTTGGTGTACTGGCCGGAGGACGGCGAGGTGACGGGAAGGTGCTGGGTGTACGTCCACTCCGGGTCGTGCTGCGAGTCCGTGTAGTAAGTGTCGTCGGACAGCCTGCGGCGGAACTGTCGCAGCGCGGCGCCCCAGCCGCCCGCGTCGTTCTCCTCCGAGTCCGATCCCATCCCGTCGTAAGCGGACGCCACGCCCGACTCCTTTTCCAACACGCTGAACACCAGGCTCTTCCTCTTGGTCAGCAGGCTGGGCCGAGACAGCTGGGAGCTGTGCAGAGCGATCCAGTTACCGTCTGGGCTCTGGAGCACCGAGGACGCACCTGGACAACACGAACACACAGAAGGAAGTCTAGAGGGACATTTTGGAAAGGATCTGTGACCTTGACTTCCATCAGAGCAACAAAACGGAAAACTACCACTTAATAAGGTTAAAATGTCTTTTAGAAGTTGTATTAAAGAGTCATTATTTCGGGTGATTTTTTAGATGGGCATGAGTTTAATAACTTTAGAAATTGCCATTGTAGCAGCCAGCGAGTTGTATGCATGTAAAAGCGATTTATTCCAACTATCCCGCCATGCATCATGAAGCTATTAGCAGCAAGTGCTTCAATCGAGGCATCCGACAGGACACAAATATCATCTTCCCCAGGAGAAAAGGAGGACTCAAAGGAAACAGAGTGTGTCAGTGTGCTGTTTACTGGAGTTGTCCAGGCGGTCGACACTCTTCCAGGTGGGTAGAGACGCCGCCTTGGCCTCCCTCTTCAGAGGAGCGTACTCCTGCAAGCCGCCGCCGCCCGCCGCCGCCCCCTCCTCCTCCGGACCCTTATCCGGGGAGTCGTCGCTGGTGAGGGAGAACGCTGAGCGTGACCGCTGGAAGCACACGCATCAAAAGTTAAAAAGTAATTAAATATGGAACATTTGCACTCGCAGACTCACATACACCTCTGCTGACTCCACAATAAGTGGAAATCATTATATTTCTGAAAGGAAATTATATGACGAAGATTTTGGAGAGCTTGGGAAACTAGAATGTCTTCTGAACTTACAGGTTAACAGCACATCAGCCAAAAACCATCACATATTCTGAATGATTTCCATATATTGTAATTATAGTGTATATATAATACAAAAGACTCCCGCCCCCCCCCAACCCCCCCGACCCTGTGTGCAGGATAAGCGGTTTGACGATGGATGGATAATAAAAAAGGAGAACACTTGTATCTGGCTTGTGCACTTCCGGTCAATTCTGGTAAACTGGGGATGTGAGTCAGGAATCTCATCAGCAGGTGGAGCTAGAAAACAACTAAATAACAAGGGAGGCAGCATAGAGCTTCAAGTCCCCCTTCTGTGTGTGTGTGTGTGTGTGTTTACACATGATCCTAAAATCTCTTTGTCATCGAGAGAGAGAGAGAGAGAGAGAGAGAGAGAGAGAGAGAGAGAGAGAGAGGAAAAAACGCTATTACAAGTTCTCTCCTTGGCCAGCGATTCATTTGAGTTTAGGATTACGTTTTCTGATTAGATTAGAGTCGGATTTGACAAGAATCATGTTTTGGGATATACATTTTAATAACTTTAAATGTCACAATGATATAGATGCAGTCACTGCTCTGCTAAGAATAAAAGCAGCAAAACAGTTTGGCAGCGGACAGATTATTAAAAAGAACATGAACACCAGTTCTTACAGTGGCTCGGATGCACCGTTAACATTACCCAAAGGCCCGATTCTGAGGCAGTACGGATTTGGGTGTGCCTCTGCGTGCATGGAGTCTGAGTGAGTGTGTTTGATGAACGGAGCCCGTCCCGTGCTTGGGGGGAGGAGAGGTGGGTGGGTGGGGAAGGGTACTTTGCGGGACTTTGATCTTCTCCGACTGAAACGGCGGGAAACTGGACGGCGACGTCACGGGAGCGCAGCTTTGATGCTTTCAGCTCTCCCGGGACGGCGTACATAGCAGATACGTGTTACTGTTTGTGCTCTTTCTTTGTGTTCTTGTAACCTTAGTAATGACGCATCGTGTCATTTTCTCAAACCTTTTACTCCAGGCATTCCTCTAAATTAGCTTTAATGTTCATGTGTGCCCCATGAATCCATTTTTATTACACATCATGGCGTACTTTAGGGAGCACATTAATACTGCAAATATTCTGACTTCATATAAGATTTAAACGTGGCACATTTCATGCGACTCAAACCACTGGCTTTCAATACAAGATCCACACCAATATACTAATGAGCACCCTTCGTCTCCACACACATGTGATACTAAATGGTTACAGAGATCTTTTTAAACGTGTCAAAGAGGGCGGCCGGTCCACCCAGTGGAACACAGATGGAGGAAGAGTTTACTGTATGCTGCGTGACTAGGAAATAGGGCAATTTTGTGACCAATGGAATCCGGCCCTGGTTTGACCTTCCCTGGTTAACGTTAACAATTATAATACTATGAAGTTCTATTCATTTTTAAGTGCAATCGCTCAAAATTTCACTTTTTCCACCAAAACAATGTATTAACACTTATTACGGCAGTATTTACATTTACTGTAAATGTAAAAGAAATACAATCTCCACACCACGCATGTAATTTCCACCGACAGCATTTTGCTTTTACACTTTCCAGCGACATTCGTTATCGTTATTGACTTAAACAGATATGCGTGGTATTCGGTTCTTTTTTTTGCTCTTTTTAAGAGCTTGAGTGGTGGAAGAGACCGACCCAGAGAGAGTAGGGAGGTTTTTTTGGGGTCCTGTGGTCCTACAGAAGAAGCTTGAGGCTGAGACGGAGAGGGGAGGTCGCTGGGCTGGATCAGGGAATGAGTCTGAGGCCAGACAGAGTCATACTCCGTCTGCATCTCCGAACGCTTCCTCCTCTGGATGATCTGAGGAGGCCGAGAGGGAAATTACGATGAGTGAGAAAACTGTCTTTATTTAAATAGAAATAATATAAACAATTGAAAAAGGCAGAAGGGAAAATGCAGTCACATGCATCTTCGCCTATTAATCTTCTATAATGAAACTTAATAATAATACAGAATTGTCACTATTATTATGCACCGGCATCCTACAACCTTTAACGACCTTATGGTCAACCAACGCTTTATATTTTCGTTTTCTAGTTCTTATTTACTTTTGAATGAGATCATCTAAACTTTTACACAAAAGGGGAAACTAAACAAAGCAGATAAAAACTTACTCAACCTACTTTTTGTACAATTGTCGTGGCAAGTTCCTCTATGAGCTCTTCTTTGTGGTCCTGCAGATACCGAGCCTCATTCTGCTTCTCCTGCACGCACGCACACACACACACACACACACACACACACACACACACACACACACACACATTCACACACACTTTCACATACTCACACATTCACACGCCTTCACTCACACACAACATATGTTTAAAATTCCGTGGCCGCTTGGTGAGGAGAGGAGAGAAGAACAGCTCATGACAGAGAAGCAGGGAAGGATAAGAGAGGAAAGAGGGGAAGAAATCGACCCAAAACAGTCGGGTTTCAACGAGCGGCGGTAAACTCTTCTGCCTTAGTGATGGCCTCCTCTATCGCCTCCTCAGCGACGCGCAGGGCGACCGTGAGCGTCTCTGCCATGCTGTGTCCTGAAGTCAAACACATGAGTCCCACACAAACACGTCGGAGATATTTAACCTGGTGGAGGTGCATTGTGGGTATTGTAGGCGGCAGGTTTCTCCTGTTTCGCTGCGTATATTTTCTACTATTTTTGGCCATTGTGATGGAAAGTGTGATAGAAGTGCAATGCTAAAATGATGGAGGACCTTTGCGTTTTACACTAATGTATCCCGAGCATCCCTTCGAAAAAACAACAGTGAAAATTTGGTGCGTTATTTTTATAAAGCAATTCAGAAGAAAACAATGCAATGTAGTGCAATGCAATGCAATGCCCATTTGAGCAAAGCTGAATGGAAAACAGAGATTCTGCACACACACGCTGCCCATTATCTGAACAACTCATTATTAATAGCAAACAAACTAAAAGCTTTATCATTAGATTGAGGCTAATGTGGTTGTTTTCATTTTTATTAAATGGCACGTGTCATTTCGGGTCTAAATCAGTGTGCGATCATTTGTTCGAGGCGTGTAATGTGTATCTTGTGTACCGTAGTTTTATGTGCGTCTGAGTCTATGTGTATGTGTTTTAATATTTGTGTAGTTTAATGATCAAATAGGAAGTATTACTGCAATAGTTGCAATTGCAATTGACGTAAGTGTTGTGCAGCACTGATTTTGCATCCAGCCCCCCCCCGCGACACGTGCCCTTTACAGAATGTTCTCTAAACGTTAAGGCAACTCGTCAACCTTTTAAGAAAATTGAATCAGGGAGAAAGGGGAAAAAGATAATTTTGGCAAACACAGCAGGCAAAGAAATGACTGTAAAGTGGAAAAAATACAGCAGATTTTTCTATAATTGGAGCTGAAAGTTCCCGTCTGCACCATCACAGAAACTCTGTCTGCTCACCTTCACTCTGTTTGTAGAAGGCGGAGTCGCTGCCACAGATGCTGCCATCGTTGTCGTTGCTTCCCTCGTGAACGCTGCTTTCTAAAGACGGGGGGGAGAAAGAGGATGAAAGCCTTCCAACCGACGGCTGTCACAGAAATGAACTATTCAGCCCATATCGTACCGGGATAATGTAACTGCATATTCTTCTACACTGTTGCTACAATAAAAGTAGCTGTGCACGGTGCTGGCAAACAAACCCCTTTTTGTGCTCTTGTCAACTACATTCCCAACGCTATTTTGTCAAGTTTATGGTTTTGTTCTTTGCTGCCTTTCCCTATTGTGCATTAAAAAAACAGGATAAGAAATAACATGAGACAATGATAATTCCCTCTGCCTCATATACACACTGTGCACATGGGCGTCAGTCTGTTGTTTTCTTTATAGATCTTTCAGGCCAGGTCTCGTGTGAGTTATTGCTAGATTTCTATGTCTTTTTAAAACAAACTCAGCAAAGTCACAGCAAAGGGACGTTAATGTCATCCAAAGTGAAACATTTGTTTTCATAATTCTGAGACAGGTCAAATTACAGAGCTGTGAAATCCCATGGACGGTGTAGCGGTTTGCCGTATCTCCGCCTTCAAAAAACCCCTATATTCCCTTAGTGGCCCATTACCTCCTGTTAGACAGCTCTCTTGTGGTTTGCATTAATCGTGTGCCTGCTCATGGTGCAGCTGTTAAAATGAAGGGCGTAAATGCACGTGCAGCTCATTAGGGGGACATACTGTCAGACAGAGCAGGCAGTGGAGGGTTTTGCCCGACAACCAAGGTTGAATATAACACTTGAACGAGTGCAGTAAGTCATCTTAACTGCACACACTGCAGGAACACATTTCAGTTTCATCCCCTGACCACAGCACCCTGGCTCGGGTTCTGCCTCTGGTCCCTACTTTAGCCCTTTTCCACCTGTAAACCACAGCCAGAGCCAGAACCAAAACCAAGCCCGTCCCAAAGGCCTCGTTCCAAAACTTTGGCGCTTCCTGCTGACAAAACACAACCACACTCCTTGACTCCTGTCCGTGGCCAACGTGGTCCTGCTGCTCCTCCTGTTGGACAGGCAGCAGCCTTTGGCTGAATGCACAGACGGAGTCGATGCCCCCTGGGGGAGGTGAGGGGGGGGTTTGGTGTGAGTTGGCCCACAAGCAGCCAGAGCCGCTCACCCATCTCTGCCACACAGTAACACCGTCAGGAGTACAGAGCAATCGCTCTTCTACTCCACAATTAGATGCATTATAGAGGATTCCCACAAGCGTGCACCTACTAAAATACGTATGTTTTCCATAAAATAATAGAATTACTTCAGGGGTTTAATGGGCCCAACATATGAATGTATCAAGTCAGGCGAAAAACAACAACATCCAAATCCAAGAAGCCGGCATTTTCTTCCCCCCCCTCCCTTGACAGCAGCAGTAACACAGCCAGCTGTCAAACATGTTCCACCCTTCCAGCTTCACTGCGAGACGGACCGCTGCTCGTCAAAGCAAAGTCGGAGCGCACTGCCTGTGAGCCGGCAGTCACGCACTCTCACGTTACTTGCAGTGGCACGCTGCAAACTTTCTACACATCTACCCGCGGGCGACACCCCCCCCTCACCCCACTAAGCAGTTGCTTGGTACCACCCTCCATTCCTGCACCTCCATTCACAGGCCTCACACCTCCCAGTCGCAGAGCACCGTGTAACAACTCCCAAAACCATTACACGCTCCACCCGTCCTTCACTTCCCGGAGTTGTTTCAGTCTGTTCGACAGAGCCGTGCTGTTGCCGCTTGGTTAGAGCTGAATTATGGTTCCTGGGAGTGTGCGAGGTGACAATAGGTGGGGAAATTACCTGCAGCGGCTCAGGACAATGAAGACACAAAGGGAACGCTGTCAGAGAAAGTGAGCCGCACACAAGACACACACACACACACACGCACACACACAAATGTGCAAAATAAAAAAGCTCCCGAGGATCCTTATCGGGTGAATTCATCGCATTCATCCAGCTCACCAATTACATTTCTACGTCAGCCTCTTGTCACAACAGCCCCGTCAGCAAAGTGGCCATCCGGGAGAAAACTGTGTCACCTGCCAGTCAAACGGATGCAAGCAGATTGTCGGTCAGCTGGAAAACGTACTAAATATAATTTTGTTAGCTCTTTCGGTTCAATTGCTTTTGCTGGACGCAGTGGTAAGACGACTGGATTCCAAAGATATTTGGCTTTTTCACCACATTCTCTGACGGCCAAGGCTGCATTGCTGACCGAGGCCAGCAGAGACTCAACTGTGAATATAAATCCAGAAGAGGTGTCTGAAATATTAAATGTGTGTGACAAGTGATGGTAAGTATTGAGATACTTTACTAAAAGTCGTGTCTCAGTCCAAAACTATCCTCCTCACTTCCAACTTGTGTGTTTTCTCTCCATGATTGTCGTCTCATCTCAGTCCCTCACCACGGGCCGTTCCGCCATTCAGGGCTGAGGAGGAGGAAGTGGCTCGATATTGGCATGGCAACAGCCGTGGTCTGTATCTTCAAGGGTGTCTGAGGGAGTGTGCACGTGGGATTTATTTAGTTTAGTTAACGTTTAGTTAGACACAATATGACACTCAAATAAAGTGGATAAATATTGTGAGCTAGAGAGAATTATTTAAGATAATCCTATTGATTTAAAAATATTCCTTGCAGTGAAACCCAGCAGACTAATGAAAATTCAAGTAACGATCTCAACTAAACATTATAAGAGCTTAACTATTAGACCAAATAACATTGAGCTGAAACATGTGGTGTTATTGGACCACTTAATGCAAACAAAAAAATAGAATCCTTTTCCAAATTGCACATGCGATGCCAGGATCAAGTCGGGTTAAATACAGGGTCATTAAGAGAAAATATATGGAGAAGCAGAGGGAACTAACAAACGACTGTAGAAATAAATGAGCCAGTAAAGTTCCACTTAGAGCTAACGTTCCTGAAGTGCCAACAGCAGCAGCAGCAGGAGGAGGAGGAGGAGGAAGAGGAGGAGGAGGAGGAGGAGGAGGAGGGAGAGTCCAGACGGTTTACTTTCAATTACAACGGGACATCTGCCAGCGCACATAAACAACGTCCTCAGAACAAAGGCTCAACTGACAAGATGTCTGTTCACATCGGGGCAGGGGAGATAGTGAGGGGTAAACAAGCAATGGATTTGTTTCTTTGGATTGTGAGATGATCGTTTCACTCGCCGTGAGATGATGCCGATGCTAATTGAATCTGCCATAAAATGACAATAGGATGTTTTAGGATGAAACTACCCACTGTTGAAAAGGGGATTTATTTTAAATCCATAATACAGTTCTTCCAAGTTGTGCTTGCAGCATTTACAAGGATGTGTGTGTGTGTGTGTGTGTGTGTGTGTGTCTTGAGAATATAATTGGTCCCAGGGCCGGCACAGACTTCAAAATTCAAATCATGGAGGTGGAATGAGAAATGAAAGAGCAAAAATGGTTTTTAGTAATGAGCAATAGCTTTTGTTATTTCATTATTTCATTTTTGCATGTTCATAGTGAAAATACTGTCACCTGCGGGCGACTGCGCCTCGGCATAATCATTCTAATCTGGAGCATCAACCTATGCAAGAACAATGCTGCAGACAAACCACCCAGAATGCAGCCTGCAGCAATGGAAAAGGAAAAACTATATATCACCCCAAAACAAGCCACCGCATGAAAGAGAAACATAAAAACCAGAACGTAGCAAAGAGCTAATTACTGGGAGAAAAATGTCAGACTGACTCTTCTGCTTGCAGCACATGAAGATACGTGGGATGTATACCGCGTTTGGTTCAAAATAGACCCAATGTTAGCATAAAACAATAGCTGTTTCTGATATCAAATGCACTCTGTACATGACCTCACATATACCCCAAAAGATGCAAAGTACTCCTGCGAAGGATGAAGTTGAAGTGATTCTGAACAAAGGCTTTGCAAACAAAGTCAGGTGTAGCTGCTAAAGTTTTCAGTACATCCCATTTGAAACACATTAGTCCACGAGTGCAGGCCAGCTGACGGCACCGTGTGTGTCACACAGCTTCCTGCTCAACGAACACATGCAACAGAAATGTGGAGAAAAAGTGACACTGAACTTGAATCACATTGCTGTATAGTTTTCTTCTAAAGCTTTCGATGAGTAAACTCGAGGTTATAGAGGTCAAGAGGTCAGTGTGTCTGTTCACGCAGAGGAGCTGAAGAAACAAGTTCACGGAGCCAATAAATTGGCCACAACTAACCTGCTGCACTATAGTTCAATGTTGAAAGTTGAGATGTTTTTTTAGTACATTATCAAGATTAAATACAGTATGAATGAGTAGAGTTCAAAACTGGTTGAGAGGTGAAGGACGAAAAATATTGAGTTAAGCGATGATGTGACTAATATGAGTGTCAGTGTACTGAGAAGCAGTCGCGTGTGCAATAATGAAACCTGCAGAGGACAAAATCACTGGCACATCAGAGAAGAGGGAAAAAACCCTGCAGTGGTGAAGTACTCCTTTTCTAATTATACAAATGTAATCATACAATAAAAAACTAGGTTGTCTTGCGAGGTTATCGAGTGCAGAGCTGCTTCCAGTCGTTGAGACTCGATCCTACATTCACAAGGACACCGTCTCCTCCTTTGTCATCCTACTGAAAAGACAACAGCAGCAGAAAGCTTCAAAAGACTCTGCTTCTCCTCTCCATCTCTCTCGTAGCACAGAGAACAGCGTGTTTGAAGGTGATAATATGTTTGAGCCTTTCTCGAGGTTACTGTCATATAACTGGAAGCCTCTCACAATAATTTGGAGAGAAGTGACAGCAAACACAAAAAGGCAGGAGAAAAGTGGCACAGCAGTAATCCCCCATTCAAATGGAGGAGATTTAAGTGTCGAAAAATACATTTAAAGGGATGATTCCTGCTTTTGATGCGTCATAGTGGAGATTACATTGCAATCGATGGAGGGTTTTATGATGGCATACCATTGGAGGATGAACTAAACCCACACTTTGATGGAGACATGTAGTGAAATATAGCCCAGTCATTATCAATATTTGAAGTATGCAAAGGAGTATGTGGGACGAGTCAGAAGTGTTTGTACTGGTTCTACAGCAAGCGGCTTCTCTAAATCGAGACAAACACCACTCCGGTAAATATAAAGTCTGCTACAATTTAGCTTAGCATAGCACCGTAAACAGGGGAAACAGCTGGCTCCGACTCAGTCACAGGTGACAAAATATACATACGTGCACCTCTAAAGCTCACTGCAGATAATCACACGACATCCCATTTGTTAAATCTCTGCATATATTAACGTATCGGAATCGTTTGAAAAGCGTTTTATTTCTTTAACCTTTTACCACAAAACTATAAAGCTGCACCAGCGTAGAATCCAAACTTCAGTTTGTTGATACGTAGCGTTTAGCGCACTAAAGGCTAAGAGTGTTTAGTGCTACAGTGCTTCATTAATGCATGTAGAGTAACTACAACCACTTTTCATCCTCTACAGGCGTCAGGCATTAATTATTAATGGAGTAGGTACCACCTACTGAGGTATACTTGAAAAGGTTTAGCGAAGTGGGAATTTCAGCCGCTTAAGCAAACAAACGTAATGGTTGGATAATTGCATTCAAATCTCTTCTTCTCTGATGTGTTATTTCTTCCCCTTCACGGGACTGTAAGTGGTCACTGACATTTGATATCTGTGACTGGTTATCCAGGAGCATTCCTGCCTTCCCCCGGAGACGATGGACACAACAGTCCAAATCCCTCCCTGTGTTCCTATCCGGCACGTGATAGACGTTTAACAGCCGCGGATCTCCCTCGCCCACCGTCGCATCAGCTGCCGCTTCGCACTTGAACAGAGGTGATTTAACGAGAACAGGCCGCCTGGTGATGATAAAAGAAATCAGCTTTGCTGGCACACGCATGGAGGGCGCCTATGCAGTTCGCATATGGTTATCTAATGGTTTTCTATATGCGAGAGTTATGACTCTAGCAGAGCTTCCAAGCGGCATAACAAAGACTCTCTTTTTTCGGAGCAAAGTAGATCAAGCGAGATGCTGCAACATTACTGTTTTAATGAGCAATATCTTTATCTAATAGATTATTTGCAATGTAGTGCTGATTTACTTGCCACAGTAAAATGTCATTAAATTCTGTAAAATTGAAATCATAGATGTCTTGTCTGACATGTCTGTCCAGTTATATTCTGCAAAAGAGGTTTTAAAAGGCACTTTTTATATAAATAAATCTAAACCCAATCATATTTCAGATCACAGTATGTCCATAATCATATGGCATGTCAGCTGGCCAGTTAGTGGGAGCGGCTTTTGTGAGTATTTGAGAATTGGAAGCAGTTTAATCTGTTGGGCTCATGCAAGCTGGGAGACCAGCAGCCGTGTTGCTTAATCCTTCCTCGTCCATCCCAGATGATGTAAGAGAGGAGAGGAGAGTCCAATTCTGTCATGTTAGTAAAACCGAGTAAACAAAATGCAAATGTTGATCTGAATTTAGCCAATAACGGATTTGGTTCCTTTAGTTTTTGCTTTATTGCACTGCAGACTATAACTCAGAGTAACTATAAAAACACCTTATTCAATGATTATATTTACCTTATTTTTCTCAGTTGCTTTTATCACTTTTATTAACTTCTGCAACATCTTCCCTTTCAATTATATTATTATTCACGTGTTGTGTTTTCCTGTTTTCAATGCTGCCTGCTTAGAAAAGTTAATTCTTGGGCCAACACGGACGCGAAACGAACATACAAATGTTATTAGGATAAATACTTGTAATCTGACGAGCATATTTTTAGATTTCCAGAGAGCCAAATCTAGCCACTTTATCCCGTAAAAACATGACAGATTTCACGAGCTGTCTGCAAAAAGTTGCGCTCATGCTGTATTCCTAAACATCCCCTCATCTCAACCTCCTCCACTTCTCCCTTGAAGCTGACCTGATGTGCCCCCTCCGCGCTCCCTCCATCCATTTAATCCCATGTAACTGGGCTTTGACATAATGCCCTGTAGTCCGCAGCAGAGGCAGACCGATCGCGTTACAGTCGGGTCAAAACAATGTTATCTGGAGCTCGGGAGGCCCGATGAAACGCTGCCCTGCTGCCGCCCTCCTCAGGAACAATTCGCTAAGGGCGTTAAAGTGGCCCGAGGGCCCGAGTGGGGCTTAACTGGCGGAACGGGTCCGCAGGTCAGCTCGCCCGTAGTCTGTCACCGTCATCACTGACACACACACACACACACACACACACCGGCGGCGCCGTCCTCTCAAATCCAAGATCACAGGAGTGTGTTCTCGACTGAACCGTGGCCGTGGGAGACTGCGGTTTCCTTACGTAAATGTCATTAGGATTAAATTACAAGGGTAAAGAGAGATACAAACACCAGTTTCCCCTTAACAAAAGGCCACCATGAACATAACCGAGATATGGGTTTGTATGTACCACGAACCATGTGCCCCAAATCGCTTCGAGGAAGTTACAATACGTCTCTGGCCAAAACTGGCGCTTCACAAAACGTGACATAACATTGCACGGGGACAGAAGGCTGCTCTTAAATCAAAAGGATGCACACGATCACGATTGAAAGATGGAGAAAGAACAGCAAAAAGAATTATGCATGGCTGATTAGAAGGCAAGGGAGAGGACGACGTTACCTGGGAGGTCAGAGAGCGCTCCTCTCTCTATAATGTGCTTTCGATACAGGGTCTTCAAAACCTTGGCGCTGCCGAACCTCTTGAAGCGACTCTTCACGTTGTTGTAATACCATTCAAGAGACTGTGTCCTCAAAACCCTGCAAGAGAGAAGGGAGGATGGGAGGAGGGAAGAAAGAAAACGTGATTTTAAGTCAAAACGAACAGATTGCAAAGAGACGGGCGGGAATCTGATCTCATTTTAATAACACCAGGATTAAAACTGTGACTTCAAGCCAGACTTCTATTGAAATCTGGTTAAATTGGGTGTCTTTCATTATTAAAGTAAAGATAAGACCAGACCGTTTAAATTAATAGAGAAGGAGATTTTAAGAATAAAAGTAAAGTAAGAATAAAGGTAAATCGGAAATGGAGGTTTTGTATAATTATTTGTTATGGTTTGAGTACAATATTTAAATCTCTCTTAGATTTGAAACAAATCATTTATTGAGTTCTCTCTCTCTCTCTCTCTTTCTCTCTCTCTCTCTCTGTGGAGGCTGTATTAAATATATGAAAAGTCTTTTTTTTAATACAGAGGTTTTCAGATGTGAGGTCACGATATTTTCTAGGCTTTTCCTCATTCCACGTACAACGGCTGGTTGGCCTCCCAGTCAGACCTCAGGACACAGCAGACGATTATGTAATCAGTAATTCTAAACGCAGAGGGTTATGAAAAGCCCTCCGAAAAGCGCTCTCCCTCTGCGCCGGCGTTGCGCCGGATTGCGTGAATCTCGGCCAACTTTGCGTTTAATCCCGCGGTGCCTCCTGCTCTGCTTCTGCTTTTTTTCACACCACCGTCTCACACACAAAGGAGAGGCAAAACAAACAACACATGGACAGATTTACTGGGTAAAGAGACAAAACCACACACAATTTATGTACGCGCTATTCATTCCCATGTACACAGTTTGCTCTCACTTCTTTTTAAAAGATGCTTTGAACATTAACACGTTTTTTTTGTTAATGATCCGCTACTTTATTGATGAGAGAAACCTTTGAGAGGTAGGAGTGTGTGTATCATCTGTGTGTATCATCATGAACATTTTGTGCACGAAAACTAAAAGCCTCTTCACAACCACGTCAGTTAGCACCACCCGTTTGAACCGTCCCTCCGTTACGATGAACACGGACACTGTGGTTTACGTTAAAGTTAATCCCACATGCAAGTTGATGCTTGTGTTTAATATAAAATGAAGAGGGTGAAAATAGCCGAGCTAATGAAGGGATCCCGATGGCCCCTGAGGCAGCATGGGCTGCTACATCGAATTCCGCCTGCCCCCCTTGCTCCCTCCCTCCATGCTTCTCAACCTCCCTCCTTCGTCCCCTCTCTTCCTCTTTTCTCAGTGGATTTATTCCGCCTCTGCCTCCATCAGCTGGGCTGCTCAATGGAGCTTGTCAGCTTCTTCATTTCATGCCGCGGGTCATCCCAGTCTAGTTATTCTAATGGTGGTGGCCGAGCTCCAGTGAAGAGGGCTCTGTGCCTTCTTCTCCCTCTGGGCCAGAGAAGGCACAGGAATGAATCTGGAAAGAGCGAGTCCAAACGGATGGGAGGCAGAAATACAAACAGATTCCACCAGCAGTGTGAAACGAGCCGGAGCCACAAGGAGCGATGGTTGGACTGCAGAGAGGTTTACGCCTCCCTTCCTGAAGAATACTCCACATCTTTGGTTCACGCTGCAGAGAATGTTTGAGCCGTTTAGCCGGCAGCAAGCTCTCGTGTAAAGTGTCCAGATAAATGTTTATTTTAGCATATTAAATTAAAAGTAAATGCAAATGTCAGCTCAAGCATCTGCTCCCCTTCTATGCCAGCTACAAAAACTTGAAAATAGCCCAGCTTTCCCTTTTCAGAGAAGAGGGATTTAGGCCAGTGAGAGAGGCGTCTTCAATGAATGAAGCATGACATTTCTTCCCTGATTCGATGTGAAAACGATACAAAGGACGGGAGGAGGAGAGTGTAGTGGATAAGCAAAGGCTTTCAAGCAAGAGCCGCACTGCTGCGTGAGCTTTCGCAAGGCACATTTCATAATGAGGCCGGGAGATTCCCTGATGCTCGCCTGTGCCATGAATAAGTGAGAGGGATTCCTGTAGATGGTCTCCTGCCGCTGGGTTTACCCTCGCTCCATCATCACGTTGGCTCATCCTGACCCCTGAAACCAACGCCTCCTTCCTCATCCTGCACTCTTCCCTCCATACGTCACCAGATCAATTTGCACATTTAATATGGGTCTACATAAAATATAGGAGACATTATGTAGATGTGGAATAAAAAGTATCTGGCTTTGCAGTTTCCACCTCCCCTGGCAAAGGAAAGCATTAGCATAATTGACTTTCCAAGCCTTCTAATGAATTAGTTCAGCTTCTGTTGAGGCTGCTGTAGAGAGGGGAGCTGAGGGAGAAGAAAGACGAATGGGGTTGACTTTAACAGAACATTAAATAGAGTCTTTTGAAGACTTGCAGTGACTGTTGCTATTAGAAGAAAACAAGACAAAGTGTCATTGTTCTCAGCTCTAAGTGCCTGATGTTCAGGAAGCAAACGCCAAAGAAACTGAAGGAGGGAGGATTTGTCATGAGAAATGTTTTTTTTAATGTGGGATTTGAATGTTAATATCTGTTCACATTTATCAGAATAAGAATTATTGGGATTATTGAGACATAACACTAACTAACATTACCACCATTTGAATCAAGATTCCCTCATTCACCCTCACTCAGCGGTTAACTGCTGAAAAGCACATGAGATTTTCAGTAAACCTGGAGACAGACATTCTAACCTGTTGGTAGAATTAGAAACAACATCAGTTTAGCAACGGGCAGGAAAACAACTCTCGCAGCAGTGGTCCTGTACGTAACCTTGGCAGGAAGCGGCTGGAATGCTGATCACCTGCTTGCACCTCTGTGATTGACATTCAGACAGACAGAAAGGGTTGAATATTAAAAAACACCTCATCCTGCATACTTTTTTGTGTCTCTTCTCTTTTACCACCATTTACTGTATACCTTCTCGTCGTGTATGTGACACATGCAAATGGTGCATGGCATTCGTTTAGATGACTTAAAATAAGACAAGTGGTTTTCATTTGAGAGAGGCCGTGTGCTCTTATGGCCATACGTTCTACTTATGGCCATAGACGTACGTTCTACGCGTTTCTATTTTTCCATTTTAACCCAAGAGGCTGGAAAACTCGACTGGAGACACTTTTGCATGACACACAGCGGTTTAAGTTGGCACTCTTGCATTTCTGTAACACTGCACAGCATTTGACCTGGGCGGCTGCCGCTGCATTCAGCATCGCTTACCTGTGGCTTTAAAAAGTCTAAATGTAGGAGGCAATTTACTCCTCCGCCATTCCCTCCTCCTCCAGCTAGCTTCTTTCCTGACCCAAAGTGACCCAAAGCTGTCAACTACTCCCCCCCTCTCGCTCCATCTTCTTCTCCCCCATTTCTCCCCACCTGTGCAGCAGCCTGCTTTTTCTTCATAAGTCCACCACACAGAGTGTATTGACTCTTTGTCCATAGGTCTAAAGTGGTCAGTCTCAATTAACAAGCCGCAATTTCTATTGTGTTACTCTCTACAGAATATGATATAATTGCATTTGAGTGGCTAAGGCATGGGCCATAATTTGGCTCAAATAAGAGATGTCAGCTGCACATTTGGGTCATTTTAGCAGCAAGGTCTGTTCAAATCGATATCGCATGTAGGTCTCTTTGAAACACCCCACAGTCCAAATCACGCGCTCAATGAAATGAGATGTTGCACCAGGAGGTTTTCCCAATCTGCAGTTTATTTAAATATACCCCTGTTTTGCTGTATATAAAGCACACGGCAAAGTGAGAAAATCCGCTCTCCGCCTCCTGCTTCTGCACAGCCAGAGAACCACATGGGATTTTAAGGGGAGCGCGCAGAGAGGCAAAGCTCTGCAGCAGCCCAGCAATGTGGAAAATCTACCGACAGAATATAGACTGCGGTTACGCTTTCCACCACTCAAGCCTCGCCCAAGCTGGCTATTCTGTGCAGATAAGGAAAACTGCTGCTCCCTGCATCCTTTATCCGAGGAATCACGCAGAGACACTATGATAACGAGATGAAATCTCGTGCAAATGTCTCTAAACGAAATGAATTTGTTAAATGAAATCTACAAAGCCCACGATGGTAATTGAATCTCTTAAGTCAGGTGGCCTCACTGACGTTTTGCAGGTTTTATCCTCTTAACACCTCGTACAGGGAAAAAAGAATAGGCTGAAATAACAGGATTTAGGAGATTACACAAATGTGCAGGAACGCTTTTTTAAGGATTATTAATATTTTTCTTGCACCTCATACAGGCTGGCAGGCGTCCCTAAAAGTAAGCATGTTGCTGTTGCATTCACACGGTCATCACAGCATCAGCCATCTGAACTGGCAGGCGTCAGCTACAGATACACTCTGTTGAATATGAGAGCATTGGATTGGAGTCCTAAAAGTCAAGAACGTGATTTAAAGCCCAGACATTGTCCACAAATCCCTTTGAAAAAATCCAAAAAAAATTGCAGGTCCAATGTGCTGAAGTGTCACTATTATCAGCCTGTTAGGGAGCAGAGGAAACCAGCACGACAGCACCAGACTACACGTGCTGTTGTCACCTGTGAGACTGAGGAGAGGAGCAACGGAGGGGAAGGAACGGCCAGAGGGGGGGAAGTGATGTACAACCAAAAGAGTAGGGAATGGCACAATGAGCGCGTTAAGAAAAAAGGTCATTGCTTTGACTGCATCATGGAGGCACATGAGGGCATTTATCACATGGGATCTATTTTTAGGTATCTCTTTTCAAAGTAGAGTCACCATTATTGTAATACATGTGAATCAATGTTTAGTGGGGAATAAGGGGAAGCAGGTAGCCCATATTTAGCGGTCCTCAGTAAAGTGTTTGAGTTGAATGTTTGCGTGCGTGCGTCTGATAAGCCACTTTTTTTTCCTCAGAGGAAAAGGGCACAATGGGTACGGGACGGCTTACAGAAGCTCCCAACATTAATCATCTACCATCCACAATCTATGGAACAAGGATATTATTAATTATCATAACTTTTATGATAAAGAATTTAATTTAAAAAGCTCCAACCAGCA